AGGAAGTATGTCATTGATGATCAAAAAAAAAAGACAGGTAACTGATTAACAGAACTTATCTGCAAATTAAACTCAACTGTGTTTTCATATTCCAATGCAGATTAAAATATTTTTCCCTAAAAGATTGAACCAACTATTTACATAAATTTGTGATAATCTATCAGTATGAATGCTCAAGTTTCAAACAAGACTGTATAGGATTGACAATCAGGAGACTAGGAGAATGAATCAATGAGCAACTAAGCCTCATAAGTGTAAATCCCACACAAATAGCAAAACACTTAGTGAAGTGTAGTAACAGCCAACCAAACAAACAGCACTTCAAGATCCTTTTTAGAGCACAGAATGAGAGAAATTTACATGCTCTTGAAACTGTTACAAAAAAACTAAGGAACCATTGATCAAAAATTTCAGAAAAGAACTTCCATGTGTATACGTGTTATTAATTTAAGGTAAGATTTCATACAACCAAAATATAATTTAAAAAGCTTTTCTTTGTTACAGAAACATGGTCCCCAGAGATCTGTTGATGTAATAGTCTCCACAACTTTTATAATTGGAATTTGCATGGTGTCTTTCTTGTGTTTGCAGGTACAAGTCTTTTTTTTTTTTAAAGGATTAGTTTTGTCACATTTTAAATAAACAATTTTTGAAAAGAAAGCAAGTTTAAAAATTCTGATTCTTCATATGCATTGTTCTGATAAACTTAGTTATTGGGTAAGACTATGATCTAGCCTAATATTTAAAACATTAAACTTTTGTATGGCTCCTCCAACTGATATAGTGAAAATACTAGTTTTATAGATATTTTTGTTGAATAGCATAATCTTTGGCTACCTATCATTATTTCTTGTTTGTGTATTGTAGATATAATGAACTTTGTTTATTATTACCTGAATAAATATAACATATTTTGATGTACTCATTAACAGATCTGTTGATCATAATAAAAAACTTCATTTTGAAATGAGATTTGTAAAACTTTCAGAATGATCATTTGTATTTTATCGTAGTTTCCTAAAACACTTTATATTTGTAGTTAAATAAGTTTCACAGTAAACGCTGTACCCATAAATTATTTTTGTTTAACAGCTACTGAAAGAAAGTGATCAATTTGCTGAACGTCTCTACTGTTGGGAAGCATTCTGCTGGTGTTTGTCTTTAGGTATCTTCCTAATGAGATTTATGATCTTAGGATCCAAGTTAAACAAGAAGTACCGCAACTTTTCTGTGCTTATTACAGAACAGGTGAATGTTTTGATTTTTTTATCTTATATTTTTAGATTTGTTATGGATATTTCTTTAGCATGTATCTTCTTTAGGCTAGTCTTAAAGTCAAGCAATATATTTGAAAATGAGTAAGTTTTGATGTGATATCCTTCCAGAAATCTCACAGTTATTAAAAATGTTTCAGTACTGCTATATCTCTTATGCTGAGGAAGTAGAAGTGCTAGAATTGTACCTTTGCCATTCACTTTTCTGTCACAGAATACTTTTCATCTTCAGGTGTTTAACATAATAAGAACTGGTATGTATGGAAAGATAACTGTATTGTAGCTTAAAATATGTGTTTTCTTCTGCTTTTTTTTCTTTAGATTAATTTGTATCTTCACATGGAGCAAAAGCCTCACAAAAAGGAGGAGCTTATGTTAGCAAACAATGTTTTAAAGTTGGCATCTGACTTGCTGAAGGTAAGAAATAAACTCCTGTTGCTTTGAAAACTTGTACTTTATAATCATCAAGTTAAAAAGAGAATTAATTAATTTTTAGTGTTGCATACTAAAAATAGTTGACAGTTGTATTGTCCATGACCCATGCTATTCTTTCTGATGGATCTAATGACATTTCAACTTGTGCTGTTGGAGCTAAATCCTTATGGCTAATCCAAATAAGGGACCAACAAAATAAATGAAATTTTTAAACATGTGTTATGTAAAGGGCCTCCAAGTGAACCTTTATATTTTGTGAAACCTGTTTTTCACAAGCTTAGCCTTTATAACCTATAAACGCTCAAAGAGTGTGTAATAGTTCATAAAAGCCTGATTTTTAAAATATACAAAATATGTATATTTACAGAAAGATAATTTTTTGCTCTTCATTTGAAATGTAAAATTCAGTTCTTAGTTGTAGCTGTCATACATTTTCCCTGAAGCAGACACTTATTGTGGCCATTGACATATGAATATTCTTAATTACAAAGTAAGAAAGGTTATCCTCAATTATTAGTTAGAAGATGGGAAACAACTATGTTTGAAATGTGTATTCACTATATATTGTTCTATAGGACTTAAATGATTCTAATACATATATAGCACTTCTGCAAGTGATCTATTAATAAAAATAGTCTCTAATTTTTCAATTTAGACTTTATTTTCACCATTTCAAGACGGGTCATGGGTGAAAGGACGTGTCATCTTGTTTGTTGACTCGCATTCAAAATCTTATTGAACTACTATTTCATAAATTTATGTCAATAAGTTTGGTATGAAACTGTAGATTATAATTCAAATTTTAGTACTAAATATTACTCAATTTCTTAATTTAAAAGCAAGTATTAAAAAACACAGTTAAACATCAATTTTTGTGTGTAACCTGGCATGGTGAATGCAGCACTGGTTCAAATTAGATGTTTGTGAAGGCAAGATATTAAGTCTGTAGTTTTGAATGAATTAGAAACTCAAATTACCAATATTGGCAAGCTAGAATATAAAATAAGAGCTGCTTATTTTTTAATTTGCTAAGATATTGCTCATATAATAAATCAAATACAGTGGCACCCTATCCACCTGTTTCCATTTTTGGAAACACTCCCTTATATACACTTACTTCTACATATGAAATGAATAACCAATCAGAAGCTCAGAATGTCCCCCTAGTAGCTTTCTCAGCCATTTTAATGGACTTAGTGCCATTTCTTTCTTTTGAACCAATATTTCAACGAGGTAGGGTGTGTCTTTAGTCTGCTCAAAATTTCATATTTTTTTAGACTAAAATAAATCTTAGTTACTATGCTTGATAAATTATAGTGGAATTCTATGGTATTAATTTAGTAATTTATAATTACTAAATTAATACCATGGAATTCCACTATAATTTAGTAATTATAAATTACTAAATTAATACCATAGAATTAGTAATTTATAATTTTTTAGTTATTCAAATGTGTATATAAAACCTAAAAAAATTATTTTGTTTCATATCCTCCACGTGCAAAAGTTTTCAAGACTTAGCAACCTACGTCAAGCAGCAACTGAGTACAAAGGTCGTAACTAGAAGAGATAAATGTTTGCTTTGCTTCTTTATTTACTGTTCTGTGTTTTAGGAAAAATATGTTTAAGAACTTATTTCAAAATAGCAATAATCTATATACATATATATAATAATTGAAATGTGTCTGTATTTTACAAAATACTAGTCTACTAAAACACAGCCAAGACAAGTTACTTTGCACAGACCAAAGGTTAGTTTTATGTTATTTGATACGGTAGCATGAGTACACGTGAGCCACGTCATTATAACTTCTGTATTGTTAGCCAGTCACAGCTGAAAGGTCAGTATAATAAAAATAATAGATATATATAAATGTATAACGTTATGAGATTTAAGCTATTTAGTCTAAACATTTATGTTTTCATGTTATAATTTGTGTTTACTTTAGAATGAAAGAGGCATAATTTATATTTATTTCTTAATTTTTATGGTGGTTGCGAGATCGGTCAAATTACGGAACCCATACAGAGATTAATTACTGAAAAT